TTGCATAGCACCCCGGACTACATTTCCCATCATTCTTTGCACAATTTGCACACTGCCCTGATTGCACTCATTGCACACAGCTGTTTCTAATTACCTCATTCACTATATAGCACCCACTCTAACCACATTTCTCTGCTGAATATTGTTTAGCCTGCACGCCTTTCCGAGTCTCCCTTGTTTTGCCTTGCCTTGCCTGTTTTTGATCTTTGCCCGTTTCCTTGGATTTCTCCCTCTCGTCTCGCCCCTTTGATTCTGTCTGCTGATCGGTGACCTATGCTAGCCCTAGGACTATTCTTGTGTTTTGCCTGCCATCTATCTATTTGCCATTGTTTTGACCCTGCCTGTGTACTACGTCTCTTTAATAAAGCCTGCAGATGGATCCACACGTCACACGTCTCACGTCTCGTCAGCCCCGTTACAATTTGTTTAGACAGTCATGGCATCACTTGAAGCATTAGATGAAACATTAGCAGAAAAAGTTGGCAAATGATTCTCTCACACTGTCAAGTTGAATTTACTATACACAATACATACGGTTTCAAATTGTTAACAATATCTTAATGCCTTATAGTGCATTTAGCAGATTCTGTGACAATACAAACAATTAGGTAGTTGAGATTTCAGTATTCTGAATCAATGCCAGTAAAATTTAACAGATCTCTGTAACAATTTTGGTACCATAACAAAAACTATTGTAACCATTTTATTTTTATTTTTCAATTTAACTATTAGAAATTAAAAATATTAAATAAATGAAATTTATTTATTATTAATGCTAGTAAAAATTCTAAGTAAATAATACATTAATACAATAGCATATAGCCTTTAAATATAGTTCAATTAAGTAACAACACTGCATTAAAAATATCAAAATGAACATTTAGTAATAAAATGAAAAAAAAAACACAAAAACATTGTCACAGAACAAGTGGCAGGCCTATTTCGCTTACTCTTAAAGGGTTAGTTCAACCAAAAATGAAAATTCTGTCATTAATTACTCACTCTCGTGTCGTTTAAAACCCGTAAGACCTTTGCTCATCTTCAGAACACAAATTAAGATAGTTTTGATGGAATCTGAGAGCTGTCTGACCCTCCCATAGACAGCAACGCAACTGAAATGTTCCCAAGTCCAGAGACGTAGCAAGGAAATCTGTAAAATAATCCATGTGACATCAGTGGTTCATCTGCAATTATACGAAGCTACGAGAATAATTTTTGTGCGCAAAAGAAAGACAAAAACTACTTTATTCAACAATTCGTCTCCTCCGCATCACCCTGGTGCCATTTTGGAGAATAACCGCTGGACGTAAAACAATATATGCTGTTCTGTGTCAGCTGCGTCACACGGATACGCTGTTTCCGCTCAGATCAAATCACAACAACGTAGGAAACAGATCCGGCGTGACGCAGCTGACACAGATGCAAAAAGATTTTCTGAAAGGACAATAAACGAAACTAAATTAAAATAATAAATATTAAAAGTCTAAAAGTCACTCGTTTTTATAAAGTAACACTGTCCAACAGCGACACCCGCAGGTTAAAGTTACAGCGGAGGCTTGCCTCCCTTCAGTCCATAGACTTTCTACAGAGACTCTTATGCCCGGTTCAGACTACATGCTTTTAGCCTGATTTTGCCACGATTTGCTTGACGTAGGGTGTCGTGGGGATTTGTAAACGACAATGGGCGTCGGGATGCAAGATTCCATCGCTTCAGCTCGTGTAGTGTGTCATAGTGGACGACAACCGATTCCGCGTCTCCGATTCCGCGTCACGACAGAAAGACTAGCATGTTTAATTTTTTTCCCCGTTATCCACAACGAGTTCTGTCACATTGGTGACGTTGACCAATAGCAGCACAGAAGTTCTTTCATACACTGGTTTCAAACATGGCAAAACGAAAGAGAGATGATGGTGCTGCTAGGTGGAATTATGAGATGGAGGAAAGGTTCGTGGAGCTGTGGCAACAGTACTCCTGCCTGTATGATGTGTCATCGAGGGACTACCATGACAGAACAAAGAAAGAAAAATGCTGGCGAACTATAGCGGAAGCGCTTCAGCAATGTTTACACTCTTGTTTTCGGAAGTCAGTCGCTAGTTCCGTCGCTAGTTGCTAGGCACGCGATGAATGGTCGGGAAGCAACGTGTAGTCTGACATGTTTCTTGTCCACGACACGACAAGATTTTAGGAGTCAAAATCGTGTAACGATGTAACGATCGTCGTGTAACGATCTAATGTGTAACGATCACGATAGTCACTGACACAGTGACTATCGTGACCGACAAAAATATTGTGTAGTATGAACCCGGCATAAAGCGTGCCGTGACTTTTCTGGAGGCTCATTGAGATGAATGGGGGAAAGTCACGTGGGAGGAGGCAATGCTATAATTGGATATGATCGGTTATGATTGGATGTG